TGCCGTGTCCCTGCTCCGCGGCTCCCGCCGGCGCCGTTCCTACGCACCATCTGCTGACTTCTCCTTTCCCATAACTCGTTTCCCGGGACGTGCAGCGTGTGCTCGCGGTGGCGGTGCCGTGGGGAAGGCGACCACGTGCCCGCTCCCCGTCCCGACCCGCTGCGTTTTTGCACCGGAGCTGCCCGTGCAGCTCGGGGGTCCTCGCAGCCCTGCTGAGCACAGCGGGACGTCCCTTCAAAAAGATCCCCCCGCACGAGGCTCTGCTCTTCAGAGACCTCATCCTTGCCGAGCAGCCCCACTGGTCACTGCCGTGCTTGGAAAAGGCGCCTTTCTGCAGAGATTTGCAGAGCTTGAATCTTTTTTAATAGACTCCGGCGTCTTGCACTGTTACATCCCTTATTAAAACAGCGTTTAAGCTCCTGGGAGCTGTGATCTTTCCCCTCCAGCGTACTCTGTATTAAATATAGAAATCTCTTCTGCGTGTGTGGCTTCCTAAGGAAGCACCGTGGTGGAGAGCGCGCGGAGCCTCGTGGTACCCGCGTGCACATCTATAAAGAAAGCAAATCTGATGTGCTTCCCATTACGACGCTGCTGCTTCCTATTTCTGTGGTTGGAAACCAGCCTTGCCAGGGTGCGAGCACCTCGTGGCTCAAATATAGCAGCTGTAGAGATTTCCAAAGACCTGAGGCCAAAATTTGAGGAGTAACAACGTCATCCAAGCTGGGCTTTCGTGTTCAGACTGCTCTCTGCCCCTCGAGTGCAGGGCAGGGGCTGGGCAGAGCGGGGAGCTGCGGGATTTGAACTGAATGTTTTTCTCCCTCCCATTTCAGAGGGTCTGGCGGTCGGAGTTGGATTTGGGGCTGTTGGAAAATCGGCATCGGCCACGTTTCAGAGCGCCAGGTAAGCTCCAAGGGTTTTCCTGCTCCGCGCGCGCTCCTCTCCCGGCTGCCGTCTCCTTGCACGACGCTGGAGCTGCGAGATCCGAGTTTGTCCGGCGGGCACCAGGGCAGGCAGAAAGAGCGGAAGAAATTCTTCTCGCTGTTGAGTTTTCCCAGAGGTTGTGCTTGTTGCCTAGAGTTGAAAGCTAAAGTTCCTGAGGTTGTTTGGAGTTTCTGCAGCCGGTGGATGGAGCAGAGATGCCCAGTGGGAGCGGGATAGTGGGACTGCTGGAATGCTGCCCCTCCAGCCGCAGCTCCCGCTGGGCGCTGAGATGCGTGCACGGTGCTATGCAAAAGGTTTTGTGCCTCTCTGCAGCACGGATGCGAACATGAGCATTAGTTCAGCTGCTGCAAACTGCCGCTGATCCCGCACTTGCGCCAAGCGCCCTCGCTCCCGCATCCGCCCGCGTCGGAGGCGGGAGGAGGGAAGCGCGCGCGGGATGCGCAAGGTGCTCTTGGCGCGTGCCTTGATTTCAGCAGGCGAGCGCGTGCCCGAGGCTCGCCGTGCAGCATCGCTGCCAGCTCTGCCTGTGTTTACTAGACCCCCATTGCTGTTTATATGGCTCGGGATCGTGCAGTGGAGTGTTTGGATGGGCCATAAAAGTGCAGTTGTGCGGTAACTGCCTCGTTATCGCTGAACGATCCGAGGGGGCCGCGGCGTTTCCTGACGCTGCCTGCAGCCCTGCGAGCTCTGTCTGCAAAGCAGCAAAGCCTGAGCGGGCACCAGGGCTGGTGTCACCTCCCCGGCGCGTGGGGACAGCGGCCGGGCTCGCTCCGAGCGCGCTGCTCCAGGCGCGCTGATGGCAGCAGACACGGTCCAGATTTGTGACGAGAGAAGCACAAAGCACCAGGGATAGAAACTGCCTTTCTCCGACCTTTTGAAATAAAAGGCTCTTCATGGAGCCTGTAGAGGCTCTAGAGATGCTCTAACAAAAGGACTTTTTTTTTTTCATCAGCTGCTCAGTAAAAGCTAAGAAGCCAGAAGCAGCTGGTTCTTTCTCTGTATTTACAACAGCATTAATCATGTTAGATGAAAGGTGGAATCTGTACCATGAAAATACCAATGCAAATTTAGTCAGCTGCAAAGGGAGACAAAATAACTTCGTTGCCATTAATCTGCCTATCATCGTCATCTGCGGGCAGAGCAAAAATCGCTTCGTGCAGCCGCTCCTCTGTGAATTTAGTTGGGATTTAGTGGGGATGCAGCTCGGCGGTGGTTCCTGCGGTGGCAGAGATGCAGCCCGGTGCCCTGTGCAGCGGCTGAGAGCAGCTCCGGTCCCGGTGTCTGCGGGGCCCCCTTGCACGTTGACCCCAAAACTTGCTGCTTAAAAACTAACAGGGGTGTTGCACTGAGTATAGCCCACGTGAGAAATGAAGCTGAATCTTTTGGCACGTTTGAAAGGGGGACTGTCCCTAGGTCAGTCCCAGATGTTAGGGGCCGGGATGATGGTGGCGGTTCGGAGGCAGCTGCGGCTCCTCTATGATAACAAAATTCCCCTCCCCGCGCTTGCTGGAGAGGCCTGCAGCCGTGGCAGGATCGCAAGGCCGGCTGCTGTGGGGAATCTTGGACCTGGGAGCATCCTGGCCCTGGGAGGAGTATCCTGGCGGCAGGAGCATCCCAGACCTGGGAGCATCCTGGTGCTGGGAAGAGCATCCCAGACCTGAGAGGATCCTGGCCCTGGGAGAAGCATCCCGGCGGCAGGAGCATCCCCAACCTGGGAGCATCCTGGTGCTGGGAGGAGCATCCCAACCGCAGGAGCATCCCGGTGCTGTGGGGAGCATCCTTGTCGGCAGGAGCATCCCAGACCTGGGAGCATCGTGGTGCTGGGAGGAGCATTGTGGTGCTGGGAGGAGCATCCCGGCGACAGGAGCACCCCAGACCTGGGAGCATCCCGGTGCTGTGAGGAGCATCCCTGTTGACAGGAGCATCCCAGACCTGGGAGCATCCCGGTG